TTTTACAGTGTAACTACTATATAGTTTCTAAACATTTATTACTGTAAATATTTAATAACTTGTTGTATTTATTATATTAAGTTAATTTATGTTTTATTTGATTTCAGTCTAATTGTAAAATAAACATTAATTTGTTCAATTTTAATTAATATCTAATATTATTTAGTGTTTCATAAATTCTTTACTGTTAATACACCGATACGGAGTTACTGTACACCGCTGTAACACCAATTTAACACCGGTAACACCGATTTAACACCACCGAGAACCATTTTAACACCGGTGTTGCACAGCGGTGTTAAAATGAGTCCATTTTAACACCGCTTTTTTTACAGTGTAATAAAATGCTAATTGATTTTTTTATCGTTCAAGAACGAGTTTCAGTTTTAATTTTACCGATGTAAGATCAACGTACGTTGAAAAATCGGTTGATACTGCAGCTGATTGCACATAACTTTAGATATATTTATATTAATTTTGTCTTAATTAAATGTTAATAAATAATAGTTTAAGAAAACTAAAAAACACGCTTTTATAGAAAATCAAACTGAAAAATAGATACTTAATTTTAATAAATTTAAATTAAGAATAGTGTAAATAAGAAAAAAATATATTATTGTAAAAAAAGCGTGGGGAAAAAATTTAATGTACTTGGTGTGCATTATAATTGAATGATGGTGTGCATTATAATCGAATGATGCACACTAAGGACATTTAATTTTTTTCCTTAATATTTACTGTTTTTAGCGTTTTTTTAATCTACAAAATTTTTGTACTTGGAATTTTTTTTTCGATTAATAATTTTTTGTAAAAATTGAATTATCAAGGTTTGTAACAATAGTTGGACGTGTACTTGGCGCGACGGTTTACAGTGAAACTGTTTTTTGTGGGATTATTTATAGTCTAAATAACCATATAATCATTTACTTATATTTTATCGAGTCAAAATTAATTTTAAAATAGCGAATGTCAATGATGGGGACACAAAAATTAGCTTGCGTCAATTAACGACATAGGCCATGATGTAAGGTAACTAAACCCCCTCAACATACATATCAACGTATTAATGTTTGCATACTGTCATGTGATTTTATAAGAATCAAAGTATTTGAGACTAGAAAAAATTGCTAAAAAAAAACCTGGTAAAAAATATAGAAAAGCTATGTCTTAAACGAATTTTAAAATAATAAAAATTATTGATAGTTTTGTATTAGTTAGTAAAAATGATTATTGTTGATATAAATTTAACTGTAATAAAAGACCTGTCAATAATCAGCTCTTTGAATTTTTTGCGCTGTCAATAATACATACATTCGAGCTGTTGGTTTTAAGTTGATATAGTAATTATTAAATTTATTGCTATTAAAGTTAATTAATTAAACTATATAAGTAAAAACAATGATTAAGATGTCCTATAAAAAAAAAGTTGACAATATTGATTTGAAACACGATAAAAAAATTCAAATATTTATGATCACTCTTATAGTGTCAATAATGGGGAGACTTTTACCTTAAACTAATCAAATTACAAAGCTTGGTTATTATTTTATATATAGCTGATGATTTATGATGATATTTTAGGAAGAAAATCTATAAGAAGATCAACAGCTGCCAAGTCTGCTGCAACACAAAAGAGACTTAAAGAAAGAAATGAAGATCAGAGGCGAAAAGTTAAAAAAGTAAGGCATGATGTTTGGAAACCTACGCAAGAAGAATTGTTGGAAGAAGCTTTGGAGACTGAAGAAATAAATCTTAAATCACTAGGTACTTATTGCCTTCTTTATGTTTAAATTCACGTTTTAATTTATAACCATTTTGTTTTTTTATTTATTTATTTATTTAGAAAAGTATCAAAAACTTGAAAGTGAGAAAAAGAATACGAGAACTGTAAGAAAAACTCAGTCACAACCTATGATAAGGTATCAGTCATTATCGATGCCAATAATGGTCTTATCAGACTCACGTGATAAAGAAAGTGAAAAAATAAATATCGATGGGGATGATGAAGTAAAACCAGCTGATGATTTTAATACAAACACAGTGTCAGATACACCTGTATCAATTCAGTACGTTTTGTAAATGGTTAAATTGTTATTTTACTGCCAATTGTTATTTGTATATTTATATTTTTTTGTGCAGAGAAACTACAAATGACAAAGGAGAAAATGATACTAAGAAATCTGATGAAAAAAAAACTAGTAAACAAGAAATTGCTCAAAGTAAAGGTTACTATGAAAGAACGTTCATTACTTTTGAATCAGAAAGACAATTTCTTAAAGCATTCAGAAAAACTCCTGCACCTAGACGAACTTTAAGATCACTTTGTGCTATCACGAGGTATTTTTAAAATTTACTTTTATATATTTAAGCTTTTTAATAATTCATTTTATTATATTGAGAGAATAAATTTTGTTTGAAAAAAATTAGCATTACTGTAAGAAGAAATTAATTTGTTGAAAATTTTAAACAGTTTTATTTTTTAACTGAAGAAATTAACATTTTTCTCACAGTAGTTTTTTTGTTGAAATAAAATAACTTGATTTGGAAAGAAGTAATTTTAGATGGACAACTTGCAAATTTTTATTCAAAATTGTTTTTCTTCTAATCTAAAAAAATATTTTTTTAACAAAAAAGCTACAGCAATAAAAATTTTTATTTCTTCAGCTAAAAAAATTGAAAATTTCAATTGATTTTTATAAAATGTACATTAAGAGAAAAAATTTCTTTTGCAAAAAAATTAACAATGTAATAAGAAAGTTGTTGAAAATTTTAAGCAGTTTTATTTTTTAGTTGAAAAAATAAATATTTTTCTCAAAGTAATTTTCTTGTTAAAAAAAAAAAAATACTTGATTTGGAAAGAAATAATTTTAGATGGACAACTTGCAAATTTTAATTCAAATTTGTTTTTTTTTTCTAATCTAGAAATTTTTTTTTTAACAAAAACTGCAGTGATAAAAATTTGTATTTCTTCATCTAAATATAAAAATTTTTGAAAGTTTCCATTTCGTTAATGAAATTTGAATGTACACTGAGAGAAAAAATTAGAAATTAATTTTAAAAATTTTATTTTTTAACTGAAGAAATAAAAATTTTTCTCTCAGTAACTTTTGTGTTGAAAAAAACAAAAAAAGGCAATTCGTAAGTTTTCATTAAAATTTTTTTTTTTCCTTATCTGGAAAACTTTTTTTGGTAAATATTTACAAGTGGGGTCCATCATTTTAATTTTCATTTTTTTGAACGAAATTTCTATTTGATTTGATTAATATAGATTTTTTTTAGAAATACATAAATAAAATAAACAATTTAAAAAAAAAGTTGATCATCACAATTTTAACAAATTTCCAAAAAAACTTATAAATTTTCTAGAAAATTGTGATAGATATTCAACTTTTTTTTTTTTTTTTTTTTTTTTTTAATTGTTCGCTTATTTATGTACTTTAAAAAAAAAAAAAAAA